AGAGAACGCGTGTTCTACGAAAAGACCTGGAGGTTCAGAGATGCGGGCAAGAGCAAGACGGAGGTTCTGCCAGCGGGCAACTACGAGTATCCCATCAACCTTGTTCTCGAGGGATCCATGCCGGAGAGCGTTGAAGGCCTTAACGACACCTACGTGACCTATCGCTTCAAGGCGGAAATCGGACGCAAATATGCCAAGGACATTGTTGTTCGTCGGCCGCTCCGTATCATTCGGACTCTGGAGCCTAGTGCTCTTGAGCTTGCACACGCAATGGTGCGCTCCCACATATATACTATACTTTTGGCGCATGTTTTACTAACAATTCTTGGTAGTCTGTGGAAAATGTCTGGCCAAACAAGATAGAATACTCGATCAGTACACCGACGAAGGCCGTGGTTTTCGGAACCAGCATCCGTGTGGACTTCAAGCTGATCCCTCTCCTGAAGGGACTCAGAATTGGACAGATTGTCTCTCAGCTCATTGAAAGCCACGACCTTACCCTCAACCCCGAAGACCCTGATTCCGTCCGCAACACATACAAGAGTACGAGAACCATTTTGAACGATGAGCATGAGCTGGATGAGGATAGCGGCCTGGAAATTATCGATGAAATGGCAGAGGGATACCAGTTTTCGCGTCATCTGGAACTGCCCAAGACTTTGACTCGGTGCCTGCAGGACACTGACACCAGGGGCATCAAAATTCGTCACAAGCTCAAGTTTCGCGTTCAGCTCTTGAACCCTGATGGACATGTCAGCGAGGTATGCAAACTCATCACTTGGTATTGGTACTGAGAAGTTTATTCTGACCTTGTCGCAGCTTCGCGCCACCCTTCCCGTCTCGATCTTTATCTCTCCTAGCCTAGCCATCGATGAGAACAACAACCTTGTCGACCAAACCCCTCATTCTGCTCAAAGAGCGATCGATGATCTCGCTCAGCAGGCTCCTCCCTTGTACGGCGAGCATCAATTCGACCAACTGTACAGCGAACTTGATCCTTCGGGATACCGTACCCCTGGCCCTGGAAGTGGTCCTGGTACTCCGTTCGGCACCCTCAGCCGTAATCTGTCGGCGGAGAACCTTGCTTCGATGAATGCGTTGACCAACACCGACATCTCCGCTTCTGCCTTGCACACCCGTCTATCGATCTTGCGCGCCAATGGACATGATCAACCTTCCCCTACCGACCAAGAGCATCCGGACAACGATAGCCGTCGCCTAGGCGTTCCTCCCGATTACTTCGGAGCGGGATCCGGTTCCAACTCGCACAGTCCCGCTAGCCCCGAGCTCTCTCGCCGTGCCTCCGATGAGGTCGATCACGACTACATTCACTCCGGAATGGCGACTCCCTACCATCCTCAGTATGCCGAGGTCGAGACCCTGAGCCGTGTGCCGAGTTACTCCACCGCCGTCCGCACTACTGTCCGCCCTTGCGACTCCGAACTGCCTGATTACCAAGCCGTCATAGCCGAGGATGTTGTCATCTCAGCGCCCCAGTCGCCTCAGCAGGCTCATGTCCGCACCGCCGGCCGCGGGTCTTCATATTTCTCCGCCATCGATGCGCTTCACAGTCGGTCTGGTCTCCTCCACTCCACCTCCAGTCACGACGATGATGAACGTCGACTGCGTCTTGTCCAAGCTCGAGCCAGGGTCTAATTAGGTTGCAGATTCCATTAACAGTAATAGTCGATCAAGTTTCTTGAAAGAGAAAGTGTCGGCAAGAGTTGGAGTTGTTCTGCTATGTCGGGCCACTCGGTGGTCGGGTCAAGGCGAGACTGGCTCCGCCTGATCGGCCTGTCGGATAGAGCACCACCTCGCACATATTCATCGGTCCTCGGATGCTGGCTGTCTGGGGACATTGCGTTTCAGATCTCGGCCTACCCTTTAGAGCATCAACAGCGTGTACTGCCGTTCCCCGTGACAGTGTGTTTCTGAACAAAACACGGAGGGTCTCAATGCGCCTCTTGAATGATTCTAGTTGCATACATACTTAGACTCGTTGGGTGGGGATTTTATTTTACCGGCGTTTGCAACTAATAGACGGAATGGGTTGACTGGAAGGACAAGGAGTCCGGGTTTTTCTTCTTCATTTTCTACCCTGATCATTATCCATGATGAGATGACAGGCACATTACGAGCAAGATATTTCATGACCAGGTGTCGGCACGAATTATGCACATGTTACCCCTCCAAAAAAAAAGACCTCTCTAAAAAGGAGGCAACACACTTTACATGTTAATAATACTTTTTATAGCATTAGCGTTACGACAGCAATAGATCTAAACTCCATTATTGCAACAATGACATAGAAAAGAGTGTACCGGGGATTGCCGTGAAACATGAAAGCCAAGAAATTCTTGGATGTTGTAAACTGTAAAGAACGGATGAGAATGGGATTGTCTGGTTGAACTCCAGTTCTGACGTAGCCACAGGACAATGTAAGAGAGAAAGCCAATATTGAGTGTGTCCCCTGGGAAAGTGTGGCTGAGTCGGGATCCGCTTGCGGAGGTGGCATTTCCGAAGCGGGCATGGCCTGATTCCCCCCCTTCAAGATACAAAGTAGTACTCCGGAGTAGATAGTCGATGCACACACGGGCCAACTCATCATCTGCGATCAATCGACCGGAAAGGATGGCGAACTTCTCCCCAATGGAACCATTTTCACGATGATCCCTTGCCGGAATCGGAGGGCATCTGAGGGATGAACAAATCGTGGGTGATCCTGATTTGCGCCATTGAGGGGTAAACTGCTTTGGGCGGTGACTTCATCGGTCGATCCTTTTCCTTTACAGCAACAACATTATTCTACCTTTGCTTTCTTCTCGTTGCTTTTGGCGCTTAGAGATTTATTCTCATTGCTCGACGTCAATCACATTTATCAGATCCCGATTTCTTCCCTCTATTTGATATACATATATACACATATATATTTACCGCCTCTTTCCTACCTCCTGGTGGCACACTCCCCTCCTCCTCCTTCTCATCCTCCGAGCGTCTCGCCGGCATCTGCTTGTCCACGCCCCACTTCCTCCGCTTCAACAAAGGCCAACAAGCCCCTATCCGTTTGCCGATTCGACCGTCTCGACTAGTCGGAGATCGTGCTTCCGGTGTCCTCCACCTCTACCGCTCCGACTGCAGTTTTTATTCCTCGTGGGCGCCGTTCGACCTTCTTTCCCCTTGAACAGCTGTGTCCCTGAGAGGCTGCACGCCGTATCTTTTCCTTCCCCGCAGCAGCAACCATGTCGACTCCTACCAGTCCCGTGGAGCACAAGCTCCCTCAGCGTTCGGGGACCGTCACTAGCGCCATGACTCGTCGGACTTCCATGAGTGATGACGAGGCCATTCCCGGCTCCGATAGCAACGAGGTATGCGATGGGAATAGATTCTCTGCAATTCTAAGGTAGATGGCTGATGATCTTGCGACTATTCAGACCACGAACCTCCTCCTCGAGCGTCTCCGTGCTTGGAAGCACATGTGTGGATATTTGGAAGATTATGTGTCTGCGACGGCCAAGGTGTCCAAGTCGCAAGCCAAGGATTTCGAGAAGGTTTTGAAGGTGCGCTTGGCTACACTGGGCTCCTCTCAAAGGGTTGAGCGCCTGTTATACTGATACAATGGATTCCTTGCGTGCAGACTGTGAACGAACCTCTGCGGGAGAGTCATCATTTCTCCCAGAGCGCCGGCGGCGTTTCTTCTTGGTTTGAGAACATCCGCGCCAACACTCAGGTAATATTCCCAGTTACACACACAATGACGACATCGGCTCACAGCTGGCTCTAGGGCATGGTGAACCTGTACCTGGACTCTGAGAGGAACCTCAAGGGTTCCGTGCTTCCGACCTTGGAGCGTCTTCACAAGGAAATCAAGGCCAAGTCGAAGGAATTGCAGAATGGCGCTGCAAAGGGTGCTAAGGCTGTCGACAAGGCTCGTGGCGTCACTCAGAAGCACATTGAGCTCCTCGCCCAGCACACGGCTACACTTGACGCTGCGTCCCATAACAAGATCGACACCGCCCATGATCCTTACATTCTCCGTCGAGGTGTCACCCACCGCCTGAACAAGCAGGTTATCGAGGAGAACAACAACCGTCAGGACCTCATCGCCGTGCAGAACAACTTCCAGCAGTTCGAGGCTCATGTCCTGCAGACCGTTCAGGGCGCTATGGAGCAGTTCGTCGTCTACATGGGCGGTCAGCTTGACCGTCACCGCGCCATGTACACGGACATTCTGTCCTCGGCGCAAAAGGTCCCTCCGGATTTCGAATGGGTCAACTTCATGACCAGAAACGACCACATCCTCGTCAACCCCGACGCACCGCCGCGCTCCCTCTCCAACATCACCTTCCCTAACCAGGAGCACCGCGCCACCAAGCCCTTGATCGAGGGTACTCTGGAGCGCAAGTCTCGCGCCATGCTCAAGGGCTACAGCAGCGGCTTCTACGTCGTGACACCCGCCCGCTACCTCCACGAGTTCAAGGACAACGACGATCTCCGCCGCGACCCCGCTCCCGAACTCTCCCTCTACCTGCCCGACTGCATCATTGGCGCCATCGACGGCTCCAAGTTCAGCGTCAAGGGCAAGGACGTCTCCAGCGGCAAGGTTGGAAATGCCTTCCACACAAACACCGAGCTGAGCTTCAAGGCCGCCAACTCTAACGAGGCCGAGAAGTGGTGGACCGTCATCAAGGACGCCACTCGCGCTCCGACTTTCTCTTCTAGCACCGCCACCTCGCCAACCAGCCCTGTTGCGGCCGAGAGCTCTCAGCCGCCCGCCTATGTCGAGAAGGAGTCCGCTGCTGCTCAGCAGGAACCCACCGCTCAGTCGCCGGCCACTCCGGCTGCTGTCTCTCGTACCAACACTAGCGGCTCCGGCACTCTTCCCACCGCTTCTAGTGCCGCGGCACCTCCTGTGACCACTGCTACGGAGGATAAGGCGTGATAACTATCTATTCTTCTTGGTGTATATGCAACTAACTTACTTAACTACCCGTATAATACTCCCTTTGCTGTATGCAATTGCTATTCTGAGCTTGATATTTTGGCTTCCTATTCTCTTCATCCATTCTTGCGTAATCGATAGTATGTATAGCACTTGGTATACCTCTTTCTACGTCTATATGGTGAGCTCGTTTATGGAAATATGTCTGCTTCAGCTGATTGTACGTAAGATGTCGGTTCCTGTGACAAAGTACCACCAAAAGCAGGTTATTTATCTATAGTCGCTGCTAGTTTTGAGCTTGCGCTTCGGTGTCTATACCCTTTTCCTTACGAATCTTCCTCATTACTTGTGATCTTGACATGGAATGTAATACAGAATGAACAAGCTAGTGTCTTTACTTGATTCGTCCACGCACATGTGTTTCTGTATGTGTAAGTCGTCTTCAAAGATACATGTTTTAATTCAATATATTGCAGGAGAATAAGAAAGGTGAGATAAGAATGAGATAGAAATATATCGCATCGGTGTAATAGAAACGCTCAAAAGGTAAAAAACGTCTGGGAGAATCGTGCGAGATCGTTCCGAATTAGATACACTGTTCGAAGGAAATAAGATAGAGTAATATGCAGCTGGTACAGACGAAGGTACGGGAAAGAAGGTATTGAGGGTGAGTGAAATAAGAGGTGCATGCTTTAGAAGTCTTCAGGACTTTCGAGATCCGCCAGTTTCTGGCCCAAGAATCTCCCTAACGCTGCGGATTTCGACTCCAGTGCGAGCAGGATAGATGGTGAGGCGGAAAGGTTCAAAGTCGCTAGACGAGCCAGGTCACTGCTCCGGTCGATTTCGTACTGGCTTTCGAGTTGCGCGTCTGAGCTAGGGCCATGACGGCCTCCGTTGGCTGCTACAACGCTGGCATATGTCCTCCCATCATTCGCGGCGTCGTCGCCTCCGGGTTGTGAGGATCCGTTCAGATGACTCTGTGTCCCGTTCGGCGTCGCCGCGTCTTCTGCATCTCCTATTTTCGATGGCCCGACTGCGGCAAGAAGGACCTTGTCGGCTATTCTTGTCACAACTGCCACCAGATCGTCCAGTTCAAAAACAATAGACCCTACATCGCCCAGGGATACAGATGGGGTGGTCACATATGATGATGGATGGCTGGCTGGGTTCACGCCTGTAAGGTTCCCACATGATGCATTCTTCGCGTAGCAGGTATACGCGGCACCGTAGGTTGCGCTCAGGTTGCGCAGCTGCCGGGATGGGAGGGAGGATGCGTATGCGAAAATAGCGCCATTGGTAGCGAATACCCTGTGAAGCATGGCTCATTAGCATGTTTACCACCGGAGGAACAGGAATGTCCATACATCATTGAGGTAATTTCCGGAGGTGACAGGTTATCCTCTAAGAGGTCACTGAGTGCCTCCGCATCCAGCATTTTTATGTCCGGAAGGCCGGGTATCATGTTGTCTTCGTTGTGCTGCTCGTAGCAGTCTCCAAGCGCGATATCCTGTTCAAGTGTTTCCTTTTCGATAATCCAGCCCTTTGGCGGAGACCAAGTACAGTCTTCGGGGAAGAAGAAGCAGTTGTCCCAGTAATCGCGATCGTTGTTATCGTATTCGATTGGATCTTCGGAATATCCAAGAAGGTCTTGCGCGTACTGGACGGGGCTTCGTGCCCAGTAAGGACGGTAGGGCGGTTCGGGGTGAACTGGGTTCTGGCTGGGGATACCTGGCCGGACTGGGTAATCAAATTCAGCCATAATGTCTCAGTGTGAATTTATTATGGGATATTGTGGGCAGTAAATGATGATTGGAGGTTGTGGGCATAAGAAATGGGCTTGATATGTGGGATTGGTAGAAGGGTAGAAGGCAGAGTGAAGTGTAAAGATAAGACGAAACGGTGGTAGTACAAAGGACGAACGTGAATCATTATAAGGAGCCTCTTCTGTCACTCTGACTGAGAGACACAGCTAAGTAAGTTGGATCTCCTGCTCAAGGCTGATCCCGAAGTCCGAATCTCATGGTCAAATGAGGCGTGGTGTGATTCATATGACGTTCCAGAACACAGGAAGCGAGGCGTGGGGGATGTTTCACGGAGGAATGTCACAGCCGGGAGCCAATGACCATGACAGGAATGGAACGAAGTAAAAACACGAAGACAGCATAATGTGCGAGGGAAAGGAGGAAAGGGAGAGGAAAAAGAAATGAAAGGCGGCAGTCAATGGCCAACAAGGCCGATGTCTGGGGGGGAAAGCGATGATCGCTTGGGCGGAGGATGACGATCCCTGGGGTTCCAAGCCAGAGGGACACCAAAGGATACGGGAGAAAAAAGAAAAACACAAACCTTATAGAGGGCGAGAGCGGCCTGCGCTAGGGTATTGAGGACACGAGAAGGTTGCAAATTGAACGACTAGGATTAGCCAAGGCGAGGGAAAGAGGGAGTTGGAGATGCTCGTCGGAGTAGTTGAGTTGGGCGGCAGAAAAGAAGTATGGGGTATCCCGCCTCTCACCGCCTTGCCGAACTGTCATGGAGATCTGATAGGAGCCTGTTAGCTGCAAGTATGGAAACGGAGTAAGTATTTGGCAAAGACCGGATCGTGTATACTAGTCTCGCTTATCTCGGCAAGGAAATATTTCTAAAAGCAACTAATAGAAGTAGTCGTAGGTTTACTAGGAGCATCGTGTGGTTCAGTGAGCAGTTGGCAATTAGTTGTAGTGATTCATTTGGTGGATCATACTATGCCCGCCGCACTAGTATATATCCTTCCCCTCTTTTGGTTCGGTTTTCTAACCACCATCGTCCACATCGCTTCAAACAGCATCGCGACACTGTAGACCCTTTGAGTAGATAAATAGCCCAGAGATAGACAGAGTATTCTTGAAGCCATTTCAAGACATTGATACAAGACAATCCTAGAGAAAATGCGATTATTAATGGAAGCTTTCGGCGGGCCTGTTTGGAAAGCGTCATAGGCAGGTGGAACCCCCACCTTTTTTTCGGGTCTCCTCACACGCCGCTCACTAATCCAAACAAGCCATCTTTCTTTCTGTTTCCTCCCCCTCCTCCCTTCATGTTTTCGCTTCCCGCTTTTCGCTCGTCTTTCCTCAGGGTCCTCGTCCCAAGATTCTCCATCGTCCCTGGTACGTGCCATCATCAATCCCAGAGAATAGCTTTCCCCACTCGGGTCGATTCCAGAAGCTTACCACGGGATAGGAACCAATCGATCCCTCGCAACCATGGCGACAGACACTTCCAAGTATAAGCTTAACCGTTAGTGGCTTCCATTGCCCTGATCATCAGTCTGGCCTGGATCTAATAATGTGACTGTACGACAGACACCATGCTTCGGGTCAAGGACCCGAAGAAGTCTTGTATGTTCCCCTTTCAAAGCAGCCCCCCGAGGTGGCTCATGTACTCATCTGTCATTCTCCTCGCTTAGTGGAATTCTACAAGTACCTGGGTCTCAGCCAGGTCAACCAGATCGACTTCCCCGAGAACAAGTTCTCCCTCTACTTCCTTGCCTACGACGGCCCCCAGTCTCTCCAGGGTGAACGTCACTTCACGGACCGCAACGGCGTCTTGGAGCTCACCCATAACCATGGCACGGAGGATGACCCTAACTACAGCGTGGTCAACGGTAACACCGAACCCTACCGCGGTTTTGGACACATTGCTATTTCCGTGGACAACATCGAGGCCGCCTGCAAGCGACTGGAGGATGCCGGATACCCCTTCCAGAAGAAGCTTACCGAGGGCCGTATGCGTCACATCGCGTTTGTCAAGGATCCCGATGGATACTGGGTCGAGATTATCCGCCGTCACAACGAGGATGTTGGTACCGCCACCGATCCCTCCAGCTACCGTCTGAACCACACCATGCTCCGCGTCAAATGCGCCGAGACTAGCGTCAAGTATTACCAGGAAGTCTTTGGAATGACTCTGTTGCGCACCATCGAGAACAAGGATGCTGGATTCAACCTTTACTTCCTGGGCTACCCTGGTGCCAACCCTGAGCGGCGCGAGGGTGCCACCAACCCGGTCTCTGAATGGGAGGGTCTGCTGGAGCTTACCTGGAACTATGGCACCGAGAAGCAAGAGGGCCCGGTTTATCACAACGGTAACACGGAGCCGCAAGGATTTGGACACATTTGTAAGTCATATTCTTTGATGAGCCGGCTCAACGAGTTGGCTTTTCGTAGAACATAGGAAGGATCGCTAACAACCGTCGGTGGTTACAGGTGTCTCCGTCGACGATCTCAATGCTGCCTGTGATCGGTTCGAGTCTCTGAATGTTAACTGGAAGAAGCGCCTTACGGATGGACGGATGAAGTACGTGGCATTCATCCTGGATCCGGATAACTATTGGGTGGAGGTTGTCCAGAACGAGGCACTTAAGCGTACTGGCAACTTGTAATGGAGGGATTGTGTATATAGCTGACCTGCCCCACATATACTGATGGTTCTTGCACTGTTGTACTGCCGAGGAAAGGCGCGATTCGCGCTGCTTGTACTTGTAGAGATAAAGAAAGAGTCGAGTAGCGCGGGATTTCTTTCCCTTGAGGGATGCTTGGGGTTACCGAGAGACTGATTGGCCCGCCGAGTGGGGGATTATCCCCCGCTTCCAGAGAGGCCCGCCTATCAGAGGATCGCCAACACTTCCCCAGAGCATCGTCGCCGACCGGGCTGGGACCCTCCCCCCCAGCACAAGAAATCCAGACATTATTATTGACGGTGTGCGCCATCTCCGTCTGTCCTCATGACCTTCTTTCTCCCTGAATTGCATCTCAGACCATGCATGCTGTCCGACTGCCATCAGTCGATGTTGGGTGACCGGATGCTCTTCTCTTCTCACCCTTCCCATTGAACTAAACTCCCTTTTACCCACCCCCCACACGCCGGGGTATTCTTTCGCTGCTGTCGCACCAACTCAACAAATCTTGAAATCATCATGCAGCCGCAGTCTGAGAAGCCCAAGCGGGCTCCACGGAAGCATGTCACCACCGCTTGTGTTCCTTGTCGGGAGAGCAAGATCAGGGTATGTGAACTCCTCTCTTGGGTTCTATCATCAGACTTGGTATAATGTTCCCCCGGGCTGACGCAATTTCCGCCAGTGCGACGGTGCCACCCCGAACTGCCACAACTGCGAGAAGAAGGGAAAGGATTGTAAATACCAACACGGTGATGATAAGCGGAAGTAGGTTTAGCTCGCTCACTCTGTCTCTGTTTTCTCCGCCGGCCTCGTTGAATTGCCTCTCGTGTCCTGGGTATCGATCGTCTTGCGAACATAAAGTCTGGATGGAACATCGAAATTTCAGCGAACAGCGCAGGATCAAACTGCTGGTCAATTTGTTTATCCGCGCAGCCAAACAAGGCTGACCGTATCCTTGCCAGAGTGTCTCTCCGCGCTGCGACGGAGCTATTTTCCGCAAGAATAGACCAATTATGCCAGTTCATCTACGATCATGGTCTGGAACCGCCCCCGATGAAACCCGAAGATGAGGCGGGCATGAACAGGGTTCTGGATACCCTCCAAATCCCTCGAGGGCTGGCGAAAAGGAGGGATTCTGTGGCATCTGGTGGGAACAGTGCGCAGCCCCAACCCGTTACTCAATCCCCGGCCCACACACCATCCCCTCTTCCTTCTTTGAGCCGTCAACTAGGCGGCACTGAGGATGTACCCAAGGTCTCCTCTCCATCGCACAGTGTACTTCCCAGCCAGGGTCTCATACCGCCGGTTGAAAGAAGCCAAGTGGCTATGAACCCTTTGGCGATGAACCCGGGGTTGTCCGCCAATTATCCTTCGACGCACTGGGGTTTCACTCTCCCCACGGCAGAGAGCTTAGATGCTCTATATGCCAACATAGATGGCGCTTCTAATCGCTCTAATGAAAACAGTACTAGTCCAGATAGCCTGCAGTTCACACCAGATATCACCCAACAGCCGGGCGTTCTGTTGAGCCAAGCGTGGGACCGAGACAACGACTCTGATAGTGGTGAGGAAGATGAAGCCGAAAAAGACGTTATCGAACAGATTTCGCATCGCATCGGAACTTTGAAGATTGCTGGAGATGGACACCTCAGATTTTATGGAGCTACTTCCAATCTGAATCTCGTGGATGTGTCTGCGACACAACAACGCCAACGTCCAGATGCACGGACCGTCCGGCATGATGGACAGGATATATTGAATCATCTGCGGGTAGGGCAGCCTGTTGACCAGGCCTTTGAGGATCATCTTGTTGAACTCTACTTCACATGGCAAAATCCTAGCACCTACGTGGTCGATAAGGATATGTATATGGATGCGAGGATGAAATGGAGGAACGACTTGATTGATACACCATTTTATTCGGAGGTTCTAACAAATGCCATGTAAGTACCCATCCTTCTATTAGTGATGTCCTCTTTTGACAAGTTTTCAGGTGCGCCATCGGGAGTGCATTCGAAGTCCGATATCATCCCACCTTTATCACGTTTCCTAAATCGCTTTCAGAGTTCTTTGCAGACAGAGCCAAGGCTCTTCTGGAGATTGAACTGGATTCACCTTGTGTTGCGACAGTCCAAGCTCTTGTTATTCTCAGCTCTCACGAGGGTTCCTCCAATCGCGATGCCAGAGGTTGGCTCTATAGCGGTAAGTGGGTACTATCAGGGACATTAAGGAATTCAACTAACAGAATCTAGGGATGTCAATGCGACTCGCATTTGATCTCGGGCTGCACTTGGATACGACACCTTATGTTCAAAAGGGCGACATAAGTGCTCATGAGGCCGACGTACGTAGGATTGCATTCTGGGGCAGCTATACTGCGGATCAGTAAGTGCAATCTTGTGGTGGCGGTTCTGTGTAGACCAAGACTGATTTATCTGGCACAGCTTTTGGGGTTTCTACCTGGGAAGGCCCTTCCGAATGAACGCTGGGGACATCACTATCCCAAAGCCTGCTTCCGATTTGGGGGCTGAAAAGGAAGGCATGTGGCACCCTTATGGGCTCCCAATGAAGTCAGACCTATTGGAGAACGGATTGAGAAATCCGAACGAGCTGATCAGTCGACAATTTGCCGTTCTTTGGGAGATCGTATCGCCCGTCGGCCACATCCTGTGAGTTCTCAACTCCCGACGTTGTTTATGCAATACTAACGCGAGATACAGCTACGGCTGTTCCGACATTCCACGCCATGATCTGCAAAGGCTTTGCCACAGAGTTACAGATGACCTTTTCGCTTGGAAAGCCAATTTGCCGTCCAGCCTGGATGTTGACCTCGCAAATGACAATGTCCCGAAACTACCTCACCTCTTAGTGCTGCAGTACGTTCGCAATTATCTACGACTTCACTTTCGCTTGCATTCAGAGGCTAACGTGAGTATAGCATGCAATACCATCAAATCGTCATCTTCACCCACCGACCATGGGTCTCGAAGAGCTACATCCAACCGCGCAGCCCACGCCAAGGCCCCGGATACCACCACGCTCGACGAATGTGCGTCGAGTCGTCGATAGCAATTGCCCGACTCCTCCACATCTATGAGAAACACTACACATTCCGGCGTATGAACAACCAAGTCGTCGCCATGATTTTTAGCGCGGCTCTCATGCTCCTTTACGTCACCATCTCGAGTTCCCGACCAGGCGGAGACACCGCCAGCAGCAACGCAGAAATGGTCGCCTACCTGAACCTCTGCTTCCGCGCCCTCGACGAAATAGGCCAGTCATTCGAAAACGCCAAACGCACCCGTGACTTCCTGGTCAGTCTGCAACGGCGCTGGCAAGCGCACATGCGACGATCCGGAGCTCTGAAGCGCCAAACGAGCCGTCAGCAGCTCTCTTCTCAACAGCCAACAGGACGCATCTCAGATGCAGAGGCATCACGAAAGAAGTCCCGTGTTACCGCTCCGAAGAATCAAGCCGCTGTTCCTCTATCCTTTAACAATACGTCTTCAATTACAGCCCCAGGTCTTTCATTCACCCAGCCTCAGTCTCAGTTGCATAACAGACCAGGACAGCCAGCTTCCGACTCGACACAGCATTTGGGCGCATGTCACCCCGGAGAGCTGGACTGGATCCGGGATTCAGATTTACAACTGCTCTCCGAGAATCTGGGTGATAGCAGGTTCCCTCACATGGGGAATACAACTACATATGGGGGAGACCCGACCTTGCCTAGTTTGGCTGATATTGAGCCGTGGTGGGATTCGCCTAATGGGACTACTACTTTCGGGGGTTCTTCGTTATAAAGCGATATAGATATAGATGACACATATTTTAATGCTCGATACAAATCTTTCAATGAAGACCTTTAATCTCTGGTGGCATCTCAGCGAACTAATTTTCTCTGAAGTCATCAAATTGTAAATGCTTCATCTAGCACTTCGCCTGCTTTGCAGTCTTTTCCTACAGCCTCATCCTGATCTTCCCCACATGATCTTCCCCTGGGCACCCCTGACCTTCTTGACATACTACCCGCCTGATTGCAGGTGTATTTTCTGTAGTATTCTTATCATATTCATTGATCAGACCGAGCCCTCTATGTAAGATGATAGCTATGCAGGTGCTTCAACGTCTAAAGCAAGTCCATGGCCCTGGACGCCGTCGATTCCTCAAAACTCGCAAGAACACATGAAACACACGAAACACGCATGCCGTAGACGTCGGAAAATGCCGTAGACGTAGGAAAAGTCATCGCCGCAATCTGAACACGCGGGATGTACTATACATGTAAACAAGTGCCGCAACGGCTGACCAGTTGCCTGCGAGTCACCATCCTATCCGTTCTTGCTTCTTGCACCAATACCTGCTCCAACATGCTTGTTCCTTCTGGTATGTGTGCCTTTCCCGGTGACTCAAACGAGGCGGGTTGGGTCCCGTGTCTAGAGTCTTCAGCGTTCATCCCCATGACCCTAAGACCTGCGTGTTCCTGGCCTGGATTAGGGTCGAGTTTGACCTGACTGAACTGCTCGAGTAAGCTTGTTTGTGGCCTGAATATCGGCAATATAGCGGATATAATTTCTCAGTCTTAAACATCACGTACCTGTGGCCGTGAGCGACAACCAGAAGTTGTAAGCATGTATCGAAGTTTAAGTAGGCAAAGGGGATATTATTTCGATGAAAGAAAGCAGCAATATTTATGTTCGTATCATTCAAAGCAACTATAAGTAATTCAAAAGAAGCCATAGCTAAGCTAGCGAGACGAGCCCATACAGACCTACCATATCTGGGGGAAGACACAGCGTTCGGGCTCCGACTACTAAGTACTACATGTACGATACCAGAGCTGTCTTGTGAACTATCATACGACACTGTTTATATACCAGCCAGGTCAGTTGTCGGCATGGGTTCTTTATTCGGTCTCACAATAACTTCAATGCTCCTTCAGACTTCTTCACATCTTCTTGTACGTCCGCATCCTTTTCTTGAGGATCATATCCAAATATATAATTTCGAATCATTGTTAGAATATAAGGATTGGTCAAATTATGTCGATGAAACTAAGGGTTAGCCAGTTTCTGATCCTCGGCGGACAGCTCGAATCCCCGAAATAGAGTGCAACAGTCGCACTCAGCCGTGCAGTGACTCAAGGCATTAGGGCGTTTCGTACTCCGCGGCTGCTTGCAACATCCACAGTCGCGGCCACAGCATCCTCCTCTCTCAGCACAGTCCCAACGAAGATATTTCATCATGTACCATTCGGGGTGCTTCCGTCTCGTAAGCAACGCGCGTCTCCAAGGCGATTCTGGCATTTTTGACGTGTGTACATAATCTATTCGTTCGGTTCGCCAGATCTGCCAATCCAAATTGTCTAGTTCTTTGTGACATGCTTCGAGTTGCTCACTGCTGCCACCTTCAGATGGCTCTGTTTTGTTAATTTGCCGGTATTCATCTTTCAGAAATGCTTCTTTTTGCAGCATTCCACGACGTGTCATATCATTCTCGATATTGGTTAGCACTATCTCACGAGTTTCCGTGAAATCAATCATTCGCCAGGAGCTTTGCTTTTCGCGCAGTCGTTGGGCCATCTTCCATCTTCCAGTACATTCGAGATGGTTCTCTATTCTTATCAGAAGTGGCTCTGCCAAGAAGGCAAGCAAACACATGAGCAGTCGCAGTGGGTTAAACATGTTGAATAATATACGCAGTAGTTGAAATGGTGGACGTATTCAGGTTATGTGTTAGAAACGTTGTCTGGGGAAGGAATATGTCAACTTGTTTGGTAGATTAATGTTCCAAGAAAATGTGAACTGCTCAGAGGTTTCTTCTGGGTTGTCTTCTTACGAGCCGAAGATTATGGCAGTATTGTATCATCGTGAAGCCTTGACATATTCATTGAGACATGATGACGACCGGCCTGGGAGAAAAAAACTACAACAGTGAGGAAATTGTATAATCATTTCTTATGGAGCTTGGACAAGTTGGTGAGGACTGCCTAAGGAGTGTCATAATGAGCAAAGTTGGAGATAAAAGTATATAATCAAAATTGAGAGGGAGTGAAGGAGCTACTGCCACGCTCGACAACCCTCCTTCACGTTGGACAACACCTAATCCATAGGAAAACGTCACGAGGACTTCTTCTAACGAGGTATAATAAAATGTTCGTGAGCGCCTATCAGAAAGGAATTTCTAAAGCTCTATTGTTTCAAACTATTACGGAGGCCTTCGAAATGTCTCACAGTCCTCCAGTGGAGGATCCGGTCGTCGTTCCAGTCTGGATCTATAACTTCGCCAAATATATTTCACAGGGCAAGTACATTTTTGCTATCCTGTGTGCGAGCGCTCTAGTTATCATTTTGTTCGGCCTTGGGATAGCGAGTTACGCACTAATACGATACATCGATAGAAGGTATGCACATCGCCCTAAATCGGGCACTTCACAAGGATCAGGGCTAACTCATTCTGTTTGGTTAGATGGCCGGCTCCAGTCCTTGTAGGGGCTTACACGCCTAAAACCCTCGACGAGCTGTGTTGGGTGTATGGATGGTCCTCGCCTGGTAGCAAGGCATCCTCAGGAGCTGTTTGTCGCCAGAAACACCAATAAAGCAGACGATGTGCCTACAAGGTACTACTTAAGTAGGGAGTCGAGGGATTCCTAACTACGTTGTTAATGGACGGATGTTGCTTACTAAGACATACCGTACTGAACTAACTAGCTAGCTATTTCATCTTTCTCAATCAATCTTTCCATCCTGTTTCGCGCTTCATTTACCTTGAAACCCATGACATGATGCTATGCATACGTTTCACATCAAAAGCACGTCTTCTATATCATGAATCATGTAGCCACCGTGCCATACACGGGTATTTCCATTTCCGATCTAGAAAATGGGTACGACACGTATCAGTCTCCCACAGTAACAGCCATAGCGTCAATATTCCCGTTGGAAACAACGGTTCTATAGCACTCAAGTAGGTTTGTATATGTACCGCAGAAGACAAGCTAGCTTCAGTACTAATATTCTGAACTAAGGATAACCCCCCCGAACTCTAGCTCATTGACAAAACAATCCCAGGAACGTGTCATCATCAACCTTCCTGCAGGCCCGATCTTCAACCTACTTTATTCTCAATCATCTGGAGAGGCTATCCCTCAAACAGTTAACAACGGCGACAATGCACCCATTGCAGAAGCTGAGCGACTGTCACAAATAGCGTCCACCACGTCCTCGACAATAGTGACAGTCAACTACCGTCTGGGGAATTCCCCAGCCAGTCCCAATGAACTAACTATTAACCGAAACCCATACAAATACCCTACTCCCATCCACGACACGCTCGCCGGGTTTGACTGGGTCCAGAAGACTCTTCAGCCCCAGCGCCTAGGGATCCTAGGCACGCACATGGGCGGCTCCCTCGCTCTCATGCTCTCCCTAACAGAAGCACGATCCATCCAAGCAGTAGCGGCCATTGACCCCATCTGCGACTGGACTTCGCTTGATGAGCATTGCATTCAACAACCACCCTCCAGTGATGCTGATGGACACATCATATCAAGCAGCCGCAGGAAAGGCCCCCGCGGAGGAGGAACTGCACCCCGCGACCTCGTTCCCCTTCTTACCGCAAGAAAAGCGTTTTTCTCCACTCCCGAGAAATATTCCGACGCATTTGCGTCGCCGTTGCTATTTCTTCGCTCGCCAGGGAAGAATGTTCCTCGTCTTTTCCCGGAGTATCTTACCGGCCCGGAGTACCCAGTTCCTGTTCTGAAGGCGAGAGATAGTGTATCTGCGGAAGATGATCTCATCGATTACTTCTGGGATGTGTACCTTGGGGAAGAGGACAGCATGAGTGAGATGTCTAGTAACGGTGAGACAAAACGAGGTCCGCCTCGTCGGCGGAAGGCGATCTCCCGATGGCCCCCGTTCGGCCTTGATTACGGGAATAGTGGTCCGGCGTGGCATAATCCTGGTCATGGGATCAAGCGCCTCGAGATGGAACTTCCTTGGGTGAGGATCTTTACTCAGGCCGATGATTCTGTGTCTGAATCGAAAGCCCCTGTAAAGAGCAAGAATACAAAACCAAGCGTGCTATCTCAACAGGCCAAGGAAATGATCGATGTCATGCGAAGATCTTGCTTCTGGGGGCGCGAAAAGGGATATAGCGAGAGTAGAGTCACTCTTAGTTTATATCCCCATGATCAGCAGGTGGATGATGCAAGGGAATTGGCAGGCTTATGGCTACGAGGAAAGATGGCGGATTGAAAAACGCAGTCAGGGCTCAATAGAGCCAGGTAACCTGTTCTATGCATTATGATACTCATTTCTACGCTGGATATAAAGGGCGATAGAAAAATGACATTGATTCATTTTTTTTTTCTTTTTTCTTAAAAAAAAAGAAAGAAAAGAAAAAGAAAAAACAACAACAACAACCACGAAAAAACAGTAAAGAAACGACAAATTATTCGTCCATGTTCATTTTTTCTTTAGTTTCATCGGCGAGGTTCAGGGCCTCCAGGGCCGCAATTTTCTCTCTCTTTCTCATCAACTCCTCTTCTTCCTTCTTGATGGCGGCCCGAAGGCGGGCGATCTCCTTGGCCTATAAAGCCATATATTAGACTATAATCATATCGACTAATTTCTTAGTGATTTGGTATTACCCTTTCTGCTTTACACATCTTCACAATGTCCTTGTCCTCCTTCTTGGCCTTCTTGCGCTTTTCGATGCGGCCGGGTTTGCGGGGACCAGCCCCGGCAAAGCTGCCTGCCAGGAAAACAGCTTTATGAATGATCTATGCAAGCCGCCAACGTTAGTATCATATCTTGTGATATAGTTCATATCATTAAAGGATAAGACATACCTGGGTGGGATGTTCCATTATAATCAAGTAAAACCGTCTTGATTTATTGGGGGGAGGGGAAGGAAGTAATTGGAAAAAGAAACTATGTCCGACTGAGGGCTACGAAGTCTTTTTATAGGCTTAAGTCTAGGAATAACACAAGAACATCAATGACTATTCTTCTAATAGCACAATAGGCAAGTATAAAATGTTATTGGGTTATTGAACTATGGAGTAGTCTTGCATTGACTTGTGTTGGTGGACCCTATTCTATTGATCAAAGTGGTTCCATATTGTTGATCATTGGGAACAGAACTAGATTGGCTATGAACCTTTGTAGCTCATCCATCATCATCATCATCATCATCTTCATCATCATCATCATCATCATCAACAACAACATCATCATCGTCGTCATCATCATACATGGGCTTGTAATAGCCATCCCTCTCCCATTCTTTTGCCTTTGGATTACTATTAAAACCCTGAATGCCCAATTGTCTGAGATTCATATTGACCTATCAAGCCTGTCAGCTGTTTGAATGGTTGTAACACCCCGGCTCCCATTGATGGAAGGGTGGGACAGAAAGGGTGTATCCACTCACGTCAAACTCCACGATTAAGTTGACAATATTATCCATTTGGAATACATACCTAGCGCCATTGAGATAACAGAGACCAATAGGCTCCGAGAAACCATTTTGTCGGATCAATTGCAAATGGTTAAGTCGCCCAGTCACGGTGTTCGTGATCATGAAACCCCGTAGCTCTTGCGCGTCTAATATCACCTCAACTCCCGGGAAGCGGTAGCTAGTGTGATGGTCATCAGCCCAATCGGGTCGGCCACCACCGTGGTCGTCTACTTCTTCTACAATCATCAACGATCCGGGAATTCTTTCCCCCAGAAGTATGTTCGGCCCACTGGCTCGAATCAGCTCAAGGCCTCGGATGGTGACCGCCGACTCGCCGAGCTCCATAAATGCCGAAACCCCGATTTTAATAAGATCTGGTGGGATCCTGATGGTTTGTCGATACTTGGTCTCCGGCCACATGGTATTATGATAGTACTGTAAGGCACGTCCGCCAAAGTCCATAAATGATGCGAATGTGCCTCTGGACTTGCAGATTAATGCCTCTCTTATCCATCGGTTGATCTCCCAAAGTCGGATCGTTATGTCGAAAAACCGACTGCATCGCAGTCTACATGTGCTGTGATATAGCAGTCGCCAATCGAAATCCAGATTCTGATGATTCTTGACGAGATAGTTCAAAAATCCACGTTCCCCATTGACATCGAATCGCGTTTTCCAGAATCCCTGTTTATGAAAGAGGATGCCCATGGATCGTGATGCAAAACGGCTGTTAAGGTAATCCCGCGTTGAAAGATAGCCTCCGAGTAGCTCGATCAGCTCGACAGGGAGCTGTCTAAAGTAGTCAGTTGCATTGTAGCTTCTGTCGAGCTTGTTCTGTAATTCAGCTGCGCATCTAGGCTGTTCTCGCTTGGATTGTAGAAGGTGTATCAGGAGAGGTGCCTGATACGGCTCGATACCGTCCGCGTAGTTGAAATACGACGAAGCACCTATTAATGGGTCCTGTATCAGCCTGGAGAATGAAACATGGTCAATGTGTCCCCTAGGTCAATGAAATGTTATGAAAGGGAGTAAGGCAGGCAAACCATCTTCGGCCGGAAATGGAAGTCTTTTAAGTACATCGTAAAGGTCATTGTAATCAACATTGTCCTCTGCGATATGCTCTCCCAACCTCTGCCAGCATATTTCATGGAAGAAGAATAGATTTCGTGGCCAACACGGCAGTTCAGACACCGTGCAGAAATCGTCTCCCATGGTGTCCCAGCGCCTATCGGGGTTTATGGGAACCTTGAGAGGGTTGGAATTCTTTCTGTAGCCGATTCCACTCAGTTTGATGGATCCAGCATCTCGATAGACTGTATTTGTTTGTTGGACGGTAGTCAATATGATGTATACCATTAAAATCTCAATCCCTTCATTTACTTACGGGCTCGATATTGGGCACGCCACACGCCCTTGGCGTCGTATAAAGGGTCCCCACATAGGATACATTGTGTGTCGACAAGATAATATTCTGGCTTCATTGGCATGTTCGGCTGCAAGCCTCGTGGAGGGTGCCAAGGTTGACGGGACATGATTTGATGTTGCCAGGACAGTAGGAAGTACGATGTCTCTGTCTGTTCGTAGAGAGCTCTGGAGAGGGGTGGGAGGGGTCCTAAATACCACTAAGTCCCTAAGGTCAGTTCGGGTGTGCAATCCACCGTATAGATCATAATTGAGTCAGGGCAAGCGGCGCGATGTTCCGGTCACTGATGCCGATCCCTTGGCAGGCCTGACCTTTGGGCAGTGGGTATCTGACAGCCCTAGTCACAGCTGGGTTTGGACCTCCAATGGGGCCACTGCCCTGTATTTAGGACATGGAGGGCGTCAATCGGAGGACTGGTTTGCGCTACCCAGAGATTACTTCACCTGGCTCTTCGACTGCGTCGCAGCCTCCCAAATCTTGATATTTCCTTGTCTTCTGCAGCAGTGCGTTCAAGTGTGTGGTATTTCGCGCATGTCGTAATTTCTCCAACTAGGACATTCGAGGCATCTCTCCAGCATTGCTTCGCATTACCGCAAACCACTGCTTATTAGCAATGCGTACACGAATGTTTTGGTTTGTTAGAGTCCTCTATACTATGGTAGAGGTCACTCATATCGGCTCACAGGCGCCTAGGTAAATCATCGCCGCTTTCCACGTTCTTTCTAACCTAGGCGCCTGCCAATGGTGATGCCGTGATCCGTCGCTTCTGCATTCGCTTCGGCATTGGAATCTTACTGCAGGATGAAGATAAGATGGCAGTGAGAATGGCAGTTCATATAATTTACCAAAGAATGAAATAATGAAGCCTTTCTTGTCTGCTTGTTATTATCTCTTCGTGCAAGATAAAGAAGAATGAAAACCTACAGATGATTAGTATGGCCATTATTGTAATCTTTGGAACATACCTTGCTATTTTTTTCCTGAATTAGCCAAGTCGCCATTGTTTGTATATGCCATACCTTCTGTCTGACTATGGTACGGGACTTACTCGAATTGGTTCATATATATCACAGGATTACAGAGGATCCTCTAATACTGTAGATCTCCAAGAACTGGTGTGTTTTATGCTATTTGATCATCGCAAGTATAAGGTATATTTCTCATTCCACTTCCATATCTGTGGTCCCCATTATAAGGTGGTATCCATCACTGAAGCATACCACTGAACGCCTCCTCAACCTCAAAGGCTTCTCCGTATGTCATCAACCCAATACCAGAGCTCTCTGCTCCCGGACAAGCCGAAAAGAGGGTGCCCCAGCCCGGTCCAGCCGAACAGGGGGGAAAACTGACACAGACGTGACAAGCGACGACACCAAGCCCGTAGTCCTGGTAGAAAAAAGAAGTATGTCCCAAGTGCCAGCCCCATTTGCCGTCGCAAACCAGGAACAAATACCTCAGTAATCGTTCCTGTTATTCATAATCGTCCACTTTTTTAAACGAAGAATACCCTGAATCCGAGCAGCATTGGCGCTCAAATCAAACACCGCAGCACCGGGACACCAATCCCTACGGTCAGGAAGCAGTTCATTTCCATTTATAGGCAAATAGAAAAACCGAACTCTGGTACCAACTGCAGCGATTCCATACATAGTCTGCACGGTTGTTGCATTGGCCCTAATAGTCAGCATGTTGCGCTGAAGCTGTCGACGGACCGAAGTCCATTTGTGGGTGGTCGGCTCCGTCAAGGTCGGCCGCTTTGCTTCAACCACGATGACTTTATTCAGCACGTTGTTCCTGACATGGCTCACAGATACGTTAGCCCTGTCATTCGAGTTACCGGGATCGACAAACGCTTCCCTCTCAACTGCAAAATTCTCGGTTCCGAAGCAATGAGCGAGGATGTTCAACCATGCGTGATCTACTACCTCCTCGTAAGCCGTCTGACCTATTGCAATTTGCGTTAGATGCGCCTGAATGGCAGGACACTGGTCGTATCCCAGCATGTACGGAAGGGCGTTGGCAGCCTGCTGAGCGTGCTGTGCGTTCTGCATGTTGATTCGATTGTAATAACAAGAGCCAGCTCTTGTTTCGAGATCTTGTCGTCTTTTTTGGCTGAAACTGCTAGAAAAGATCGAAAGTAGTCGAATCTGGAGAGATGCACAGAATTTGGATTACTCGTTCAATATATATACTCTATATAAGATAGTAATTCACTTGAACAGTACTACTTTCAGTGTTTCTGATTCAAAATACTACTATTAGGTATCCACTCACAACACTCAAAACACATGATAACGTGATATGTCACGCAAGTAAACCAAGAATTGCAATCTAAGTCAGCTGCGGAATGTCTTCTCCACAGTGGGGGGCCTATTCAAAGAACAGTTAGGTCGTAACACTCGCCGTTTCGAAACGAGTGTTGCCTCGACACGGCTGTGTACTGTGTGGGAACAACTATGCTACGGGATTTATCACTACCAGTCCTTCTCAAGGTGCCGAAAACGGTGTAGAGAGGGGTTTGATTTGTTTTATTTATCATACAATCAAATTTTCGAGAAGGGTAATTTTACGTGATTGGGGCGAGTGGCCGCGTAGGGAAGCAGAGATGTTGAAGGATCTGGTGGTGCCTGGGTACAACTATGAATAGTGCTCTGACATACATTTCCAAGCCACCCAAAAGATCCATGCATATGAGAGTAACATACTGTGTTAGTCATGATTGCTTGCGCCTGAAGAGTGACCGATCGATATTACGGACGAGAGAGAGATGGATGTGTCATAATGGTCAGCGGGTGATGTTGGTTGTCTATGCTTAGGGCTTGATCATAGAAACCTGAGTGTGTAGCACCTCTTGCTGGAAAGCGCGGATGTGTTTACGATCTTTATGCAATTTGCAGATATTGTTTGCTAATGAATTTTGAGACAACTTGGAACAAGCGTAGTCATAGACAGAAAAGGGCCCACGTATTAGAATATTGCCCGTGCCCTTTAACATTCATTCAGTAGCTGCACTCGCCGACGGATCATCCATATCAAGTGACGCCTCGACATCATCCTCCGGTACGGGACGCAGAACCTCCAGAGACAACTGAGGATCTTTCGAATAAACCCTCAACCCAACCACACAGACGGCATTCCATGGATCGCTATTGGCATCGCCTTCGCCAGCGCTGCTAACAGATTTGGCCGGCGTGCGGATCTCGGTTGGCTCATCGTCTGAAGACATATCGATATCCGAGTCGAATTCGAATCCTTCCAAGTATGCTGAGTTTGCAGCATGGTAAGAAGAAGAGTTCTTAACTCGAACGGATAGGGAAGTCTTGCTTCTGCTTCGGACGCAGTGGTCAAGCGGATGACCGTTCTCAACTGAGATTGAAGGAACAGAGGTTTCCTTGGTGAGATTTAGTTCACTGATTGGTGATTGCACGGGTCCGTCAGGAACAACTTCCTCAGGTGGTCCGTCGTCCCTAACAACCCGTTTCTTGCCAGATTTAGCAGCAAATCTTTCGTCAAATCTCTTATGTCTGGCTTCGAGTTTTCTTGCCCGGATCCATTCTTTCTGCAATCTCTCCTTGGTTTCTTCTCTCCGTTTCCTGCGATCGGCTGCTTTTCGCCGTTCCTCGCGTTCTTGACGTGCGCGTTTCTCATTTTCAGTTTCGTGGACGATGCCTTTTGCGTGTGCTAGGTCGTAGGAGAGGCCAATCTGAAGTAGCTTGCCGCGGCGAGTGGGTGCTAAGCGACGGACGACTTCTTCTACTGGGAGCTTTTCTTTGTTTCGATATGCTGTGACTTTCATGAGGACGTGGTAGCGCCCTGCTTCGAGGTCGACTTCGACGTTGACGGATCGCCACATTAGCTCGTTGCCGTGGCTGCGGACGAAATAGTCGTCTTCGCCTTCTTTTTGTAGGCGGAATTTGAGGTCGAAGTCGTATTCGCCGGATAGGCCTTTGTAGTACCGTTCATCGAGCTTGGGGTTATGGTTAGCTGGGCTAGAAGTGTTGTGGTTATGGGTTATGCTCACCTGGGAGAGAACGATCACAGCAGGGCCAGCGTTCTTCACATCTAGTACGAACTTTGTGCTGTGGTAAGTTGCTGACCATGGGACGTTCAGGCTCGTCCATTGCTGGGTGACTGTCCAGTCGTCGTTGAAAAGACGGATTCGATCGAAGTGTTGGTACTTCTTGAGGAGGTCATCGTAGGAAATCCAGAAGAACTTGTAATCATGAGTATATCTTCAGAAAGGGGGTGTGAGTGACTTACGCCGTCATTTCCAAATCTGTGTCCCAGTTTCTCCATCCATTCCGGGGTCCATTGCTCGGAGCCGTCACTCCATGCTCCAGTCCACTCCTTCTTACCCCAAGGGTTTCTGAATTGTGTGAGTTACCACAAAGATTAATAAGTGTTTCATTCATACCTCAGCCGGAGCAAGCGCTGCCCATCAACTTCCCTCGCCTCCATAATCGAGTATGAGTGGTTCTCACAGATACCTTTCCTATCTCTCGGAGGCCCAGAGTATTCTGGCTCCAGCCAGTTGGAAAAAATCCCGGTGCCGCAGCCAAAGAGAAATTCCTGGTTGACGTGCATGAGTTCTTCTTTCCAAAACCGATCCTTGTCCAGAATATTGCTTGTGAGTACGTCGGAAGTGACGCCGCCGGTGAGGTCTTCGAGCGCCTCCCTAACGTATGTTAGCGCTCGAGCGAGACAGGTATCAGGGGATGTCCTACCCAACAAACCCGCCTTCGATGGCGGAATAGTCGCCATGAGCTTTAGCATAGGCCTTTTCCAGCAACGGCAGCCAGGTCTCATTCTCATCTGCGCATTGGGCGAAATAGAGAGCCCGTGACCCAGTCTGCCAGACTTTACGATATTCTTCCTCCGTATCGATCCGATTAATGTCATCCCAGATTGATCGTTCCTCCACAGACTCATCGTAATCAGCGGCACGGAGATACAGCTTGTCATCCACGATGCATTGCTGCCATTCACCGTCTAGGAGGATATTAGCGTCATCAAAGACTCTAATGCCCTCTGAATTGGACAATAGCTTACCTCTGTAAAACAAAAACCCGTAGACTCCGATCTTCTCATTGCGAGCTACACAAATCTTCTCGATCAATCCTTGTTTGTTACCCATGGTACATAGCGCGGCCATAAACCAACAGTCGCCGTCTCGACCTTGGCGCACGTCCGAGGCAGTGGGCCCATTGATGTAAAACTCTGGTTTCTCGAATATTTCCTTCGGAAGATAGGTGTGTTAGCAGTTGTTCTATCTCATCATGGACCTTGATCTCAAGCCAAGTTAGTACTCACTGTTACTCTCTTGACGCCCCGTGGAAGCATCTCCAAGTTCTCCTCATCTAGTCCTTCTAGATAGTTTCTCCTCCTGCATTTCAAATCTACCTCTATGTCGAAGTGCGGGTCGGTATACTTCTGATTTAGTCGCTCACATTCCCTTGCAATACGCTCCACAGCGCGCTGACACTCTGCCCGAGCCTGTTCATAAGACTTTGAAGCATGTTGGCCCTGGACTTTACCCGAGGGGGCCCGAGCAGCTTTGTTGCGCGCATACGGATTGTCTGGCAAAACTGTATGGACCAATCCAGGAAACTTGGAATTGAAACCGTCCCAAAACTGCTGCATTGTATCTTGTGGTGGCCGGGTTGGCCTTTTGCGCATACGACTCTCTGATCGTGAGGAAGGGGGAGGGGTATAGACCAAGTCTTGATGGTCGTCGCAGTCCATTATTAAAGTTGATAAATATATGAGTATTGGAAAACGGTACTTTTTTGTGATAGAAAGATAAGTGGACGGGGGAATATGAACACGAAGAAGATGGCTACCAATGCCTCAACTCAAGGCAGTTGATGCTTGCATTTTCAGTGCCCTCGTCCCGCCTTAAAAACCTGGGATTCCTCGAGGACCCCTCGTGTCCCTATCCAAGGCTCAGCAAATCACAATTAACCTGCTTGACCCTGGTAAGACTCAAAGCGCCCCTAGAGCACGGCCAATAGCGTCGGCCAATAGGCATACTTGAATCTCACTGCTTTTGCCGCTGCCGTGGGTTAGCTAGCCTTGCGCAGTATAGTCATATGTGATCAGCTGGCAGCTGAGGGATCAGCGGAGTCGCATGCACGTTTATGCACGCTTTCCATGGTGAAACAGACTACAGCCGTTTGTGTTGGTGGACTGAGGCGACGGTAGGGGTACATGGGCTGAGACTCAGCTTGTCAGCATCTTATGCTTAAAGCCATGTTACTGAGAAGTCAATGATGTGATAGATGCCCTGCTTACGGGCCAAAAAAGCCAGACATGCTGGCGTCAACTGACATTCAGCCAGCGCTGTCGCTATCAGTGGTTATTATTAATAGAAGAGTAAAGCGCTTGCATGCAAAATACGAGCGGTCCCTCCAGCGGTAAAGTAAGCGCTCGGACACGGGATCATCGGTTCGGCTGGTTCTGTTAGCTCATTGGGCTGGAGAGACATCTCCACCTTGGCGATGGAAAAGGAAGAGATAGATTCATTACAAGGCTGCTTCGGTCGTTGCAAAGATGTCGAGGAAATAGAAGCCCGAGCCGTGGCCGGGTAGGACCGAGTCTTGGTACACCACGTGGACGTTCATGGGGCCAGGACCAGGGGAAGAGAAAATACGAGCCGCAAGGCTGCCTCATATTTCCGGACTTCAGCGATGTTACACCCATAGTATTGTAATTAAGAGAATGCTATTTTCTTTTGGCAGTTACTCATTTATGGGTATGTACGCATAAGTCAAAAACACTCCTTGTAATATCCAGTATCCTGATCTCGTTCCTTCCAGACCACTCCGCAAGCAACGCCATGAAGACAAGAACACATACAAATAGAAGGAAATCCTAGGGCATCACGAAAAAAATAAAAATAGAGATACTGGGAGAAGTGCAGGCACAGAGCCTGTAAATAAACCCGGTTGGACCTAGATACCGTCCATTGCGTCTGCCGCATTTGTCCACATGCATACGTACATCAACACTGATGAATGATGCGCAAGGTAGACCGGCTAGTTAAAACCATTCCTCCGGGTACGTCCTGAGTAGTAGGCACTGCCGTTCCGGAAGTAGGGATGCATGCAGGCCTGTTTGGCGGAGATACGTCGTGCAGGGTCATACTCGAGCAGAGCATCGAGGAGGTCCAGACCATCCTCTTCAAGGTCAGGGACGAGTGCACGGGTTTCATCACGTTTCCATTTAGGGAAAGTGGGTTTGAAGTCGGGGAAAGAGGTGACGCCGGGCCAGATAGCTTCATCTGGGGTACCAAGGAGACTGTAATCCAGGAAGGTTAGATGTTGGGCTCTTCGTACGGGGAAGAAGGAAAAGCATACCGGAAGATCTTGAAGATCTCATCAATCTCCGAATCACCAGGGAACAAAGGCTTGCGAGTGCACATCTCCGCGAAAATGGCACCAGCGGACCACATGTCGACGCCGGTCGAGTACTGACGACCACCCAAGAGAATCTCAGGGGAGCGGTACCAAAGGGTGACAACCTGAGGAAGGTCAATGACACGTTACAGCAAGTCCAGAACGTGATATAAATACCTCATGGGTGTAGGTTCTCAGAGGAACACCGAAAGCTCTAGCCAATCCAAAGTCCGCCAGCTTAAGATTGCCATCGCGGTCGATCAGAAGGTTCTGGGGCTTGAGATCACGGTGTAAAATACGGTGGCTGTGGCAGTAACGAATACCCTCCACTAGCTGAGCCATGAACTTCTTGACCATGGCATCGCCAAGGCCCATGTTCTTGCTCAAAGCAGAGCCTTCCGGAAGAGCTTTGCCACGTCCACCTTCGCTGACAGGAAGAGCCTCCATATACTTCTTGAGGTCGAGATCGAGGAATTCGAAGACGAGATAGAGCTTGTGGCCATCGGCATGCACAATATTCAGGAGTCGCACAATATTGGGATCGCTCATCTCTTTGAGTAGGGAGATTTCACGGATGGCTGTGCTAGGAACGCCTTCATCCTCCGCCTCTAGCCGAATCTTCTTGAGGGCGACAATCCGATTGGGATGGGTGAGCTCGCGAGCCTTGTAGACAACGCCATAGGTTCCTAGAAGCAGGTTCGGGTCAGTTTCAGATCCAAGTAAGGACAGAACGATTGGATAAGAGTCGGATCAAGAGAAAGTACAATTGTTATCGGTCTTGAGGTAAACGTACCTTCTCCAATCTTCTCGATCTTCTGGTAGTTCTCCATGATGAAATATGCCGCTGGTTTCCTTGCTTCCTCACACAATCACTATGATCTGATATATCCGATGATTGAGGTGAGCGTACACAACGTGTTGTCCTGTCTACCAGCACGCGGGGTACAGGAAACAAAGGAGGCTGCACGACGACGGCGTTGGGTTGCCGGGGAAGAACAGAAGGCGTCAAGCAGAATGCGAGGAGTTTGGGGGCACAATGGAGTTATCAGCAAGCGAGGCAGGAGTCAATTCCCAGATAAGAAGCAGACTCAAGGGTCCAAAGAGCGAAACCAGCCTCGTCCCGAGCGTGACTTACCTTAAACTTACCTGGAATGGGCTATGAGATCTGAAGCAGTTCAACTTGGAGTCTTTTCATCCCTGCTGGTGGGGAGCCCAAGGCGGTCAGCAACGGCCGTACACAAACAAACCCGCGCGTCCCAAGGCGGTGAGCGCGTAGACAGCTGACCCTTTTTTTGTTGGTTGCCGCCAGTGGCTTTTTTTTCCCGCTTGAAGTTGGAAGTTTGGAACGAGCCCGCCGGATGGCAAACTTTCCTTTCTCTCACGATCAAAAGTTATTCAGATCGGTTCATCCACCTACAGAAGGGCGGAGTGTTCTGGGCTTTCACGTAGATATGCAATAGTCTGGAAACGACTACGTGGACTAGCACTACTACTGCGGCTGTCTATTGACTTATGAGTTGTCAGCTGCATAGTCTATCCTAATGCCGCATATCAAAGATCTGAACGCCCATGAGCGTCCCCCGGGCGGCATCAAGCAGCGTTATAAGCAATACCAGAAGTCCACGCCTACGGAGATAGGGTCTGACGACAGCATTATTGATCTGCAGTCCCTGGACCCCCAAAACCTCCCAGAGGAAATCTCCTTGACGCACTGGATTTCCAGCGCAGATTTTGAGCCTGTATTTGACCAATTCCTCGGCACGAATCAGGATCTGCAGAGTGCTCAGCCTGCTAGGGATGTCCCCGTTTTCAGCCATCGTGCTATTTCCGGTTAGCATTATTGCCCCATGGCATTCCATTGTAGAAAAAGCCCTGTTGACATGCTGTAGGTCTGCAAGTGATTCCCTCGTTGCTTCCACCCGCAGTTCAGGTCGAATTGTTATCTCGTCTGTTCCACCGGGACTTGTCTAATCCACGGCATCAAACCAATCTTCACCTGCACTATGATATCACTTATCCTAGTGCGGTGAACGATGGTGAAGCGGTCTCGGCCGATAATAGTCCAGTAGGCGCTTATCCACCGTCTTTCTTTGGAGATGACCCAGCCCGTGTCATAGAGCCTAAAGATCCAAATGTGCATAAACCACTTACAGTCCAAAGCATACTGAACAGAAAGTTACGCTGGGTTACTCTAGGTGGTCAATATGACTGGACTGCCAAGGTGTATCCGTCGGAGCGCCCTCCCGAATTCCCCAGGGATATTGCGAAGCTCTTGCATGCCATGTTCCCAGCCACTGAAGCTCAGGCGGCTATTCTCAATGTCTATTCTGCTGGTGACCACCTCAGTCCCCATCGCGACGTCAGCGAGGATTGTGATGTAGGCCTAATCAGTGTCAGCTTTGGTTGCGATGGCCTGTTCTTAATCAGTCATGACGATGGGGAACACTGTGAGATTATTCGCCTTCGCTCCGGAGATGCGGTGTACATGGATGGCACCTCACGTTTTGCTTGGCATGCAGTACCGAAGATTGTGCCGAATACTTGTCCTAAGTGGCTTGCTAATTGGCCATCAAGTCCGCATGATGGTGCAGCTTCACAGTATGATGCTTGGCGAGGGTGGATGTCGGGCAAGAGAGTCAACCTCAATGTTCGGCAAATGGAACTCGCGAAACCTCACGAATGATTCGGGGCGAACCCTTATGGAGCGCAAGCATGCCGGGACCGACCAGGCAGAAAATACCTCTCGAGCGACCTATGGTAGCTAATCAAGCTGCGCAGTGCCTCTGTGCCATTGAAGGGATTAACGGCACTATCCCATACCGGAGCAGCAAGAAACTAGTGCATTCACACCCTCTGTGGTTTATCTTCTACGACTCTCGTGGATTTCGAGTCTGAGAAGTATGCCAATGCTTTTTGTATAGAAGAAGAGCCTTCTCCCCAAGACATGTGGGTTGGGAGTTGTGTGTCCTGCCGTCAGCAGGGGGATATAGCTGGTGAGATAGAACCTTGGTCCAGCTGGCTGGCTTGGGTATTCACTGTTCACAGTAGCATATAGGAAGGTCGTATATAGTCATACCAGAATTGTTATTATATGGATGTAATGAGATACCCGAAATGCGGAATGCATATTCCGCAGCAGAATCTGTATAACATAGCGGGGTAGCAAGTGCCTGTCAGCTTGGCGCCCATCTATCCATCCATCTACCATTCATTCATCTCCATCTTCATCTCCATTTCACCCAAATAATGCAGAATTCCCAATTGTCGCCGCCCCGTATCTCCTCCCTATCTCATCGATAACTCAAGTCCGAGCACTATCTGTCTCCGCGCATCAAACAAGCTAATTCTCCCCAGGATGGATGATAAGCAAGATATATTCCGCGCCATTGGCTCCACTTCCTGCAATCCCCCGCCTTCATATGACTGACGAATAGCAAGAATAGGTAAGACAACGGGATGATCATCCCACCGAACGCATTGATAAGAAAGGCCCTATGGTCCACCCCCTCTTTATTTACCATCTTATCCCCTCAAGACATCCACCTCCGCAACAGATACTCCTACAACCACTGCTTTCAAAATGGCCCTCACATCCTGGGAACAAACCGCAGCGGCCAAACGCCAATCCGTCCTCAACGCCATCCCCGAGAAATGGCGCATCAAGGGTCCTATCCCCGCACCGTCGGAGCAGCGCGACGTAACAGGCCCCTACATCCAGCAGTTCCTATCCCCACGCGAGGTTGAAATCACCGAAACAGACGCCGTAGGGATCACAGAGCGAACTACAACGGGCCAGTGGACAGCTGTGGAGGTGACCGAGGCGTTCTGCCATCGCGCAGCATTGGCGCATCAACTCGTACATTCCCCATCCACAAGGAGTGCTAGTCTGCGCTTTACTAATCGAGAAAAAGGTAAACTGCTTGCATGAAATCTTCTTCGATGCCGCGCTTGAAACCGCCCGCATTCTAGACGACCACTACACCAAGACCGGCAAGCCACTCGGTCCCCTTCACGGCCTCCCTGTCAGTCTGAAGGATCAATTCCACGTCAAGGGCGTAGAAACAACCATGGGTTACGTCGGCTGGATAAACACCTTCCAAGGCAAGACCAATGACCCGCGCTATCTTACACACGAAAGCGAACTCGTTAAAGAACTCCGCGCCGCGGGAGCCGTCCTCTACTGCAAGACTAGCGTCCCCATGACGTTGATGTCAGGTGAAACCATGAACAATATCATAACTTACACACATAACCCGAAGAACAGGCTTCTCAGTTCTGGAGGTAGTTCCGGGGGCGAAGGAGCACTGATCGCGTTGCGGGGATCACCAGCCGGGTTTGGTACGGATATCGGGGGTAGTATCCGTGTTCCTGCGTCGTTCAATGGACTGTATGGGATACGGCCGTCTGTGGGGAGAATGCCGTACGAGGGGGCGGCCAATTCGGGCGATGGACAGAATACTGTGTTGTCGGTTGTGGGGCCGTTGTCTCCTTCGGCGAGAGGGTTGATATTGCTGTTCAAGACGGTGTTGGGGGCAATGCCGTGGTTGGGAGATCCTGGTGTGTTGGAGATTCCCTGGAGGGAGGAAATCGTAGAGGAGACGAGAAAATTAGTGCAGGGAAAGCCAGAGGGGCTAGCTTTTGGAATATTCTACGATGATGGTCAGGTAAAGCCGCAGCCACCGGTCGAGAGAGCGATGCGGATTGCTGCAGAGACGATCAAGCGTCTAGGACATAAGGTGAGTGCCCTCCTTCTTCTTGCGACACTGCTAACATTCATCCCAGCTCATCAATTGGGAACCCCCCTCTCACCTAACAGCCGCCTCCCTCGCAGTAAGTCCCCCATCCAACCCACTACACCACAACCCCCTAACAATAAACCAACCCCCAGAACCGCGCCTACAACATGGACGGCGGCGCCGACGTACTCCAAAACTTCGCCCTGTCCAACGAAGCCATCCACACCTCCGTAGTAATCGACGCATCAGGATCCCCCCAAAAGACCGCACTAGAGATCGCCGCGCTAAACGTCGAGAAGCGCGAATACCAGAAACAATACCTTGACTACTGGAACAGCACGGCGCAATTGACAGGGACTGGACGACCCGTCGACGCGGTCATTTGTCCAGTGGCGCCGCATGCGGCGTGCATTCCGGGGAAGTATGCGACGATCGGGTATACGGCGTTTATTAATGTGTTGGATTATACGAGTGCGGTTGTGCCGGTTACGAGTGCTGATAGGAGGGTGGATGTTGTAGGGAAGGAAGGAAGGGAGTATTTTGGGGAGTTGGATAGGAAGACCGAGGGGGAGTGTAAGTTCTTCCCTTTCTTTTCTTCTTTCTTTTCATTGAGCTATCCAATTTGGTTGGAGGTCTTGTGTGTTTGTTTGTTCGGAGAGTGGTGATGGGGTTATGTGCTGACTGGATGTTTCTATCTAGACGATGCGGATGTGTTTGATGGGGCGCCGGCTGGGATTCAGCTCTTTGGAAGACGGCTTCAGGAGGAGAAGATTCTGGTACTGGCTGAGTATCTTGGTGAGGAATTCAAGAAGGCTAGTGCTTGATCATAGCGAGTAGTATGGGAATCGATCAAATTGTCTAGTGATATTGAGAGAAATGCAGTGATGACACACATTCTGTTGTGAGAAACAGACGAATATACAACGAAGCCGAAAAATGTACAGTTGTAAGTATCATAGCATCATTATATCTCTACCATCCCTCCAGCGGCGTTACTTTCACACGGACCCCGTCCTTCGGGGTCACTGTCGCGGCTTCACGGAGTATGAGCTCTTTCTTAGGATCCTCGAGTTCAAACTGGAATCGTCCAACAAATGCGGCCAGCAGACAAGCCAGCTCGGCTTTCGCAAAACCCTGCCCAATGCAACTACGCGGGCCATGTATGAAGGTCAAAAAGGCGTAGTTGCTGGTGGCACCGCCAGTGTTGGCCTTGCCGGGGCCCAACCACCGGTCGGGATTGAACTGATCCGCATCAGGGCCCCAAAGGGACTTATCGTGGTTGGTCAGTGCGGGCACGATCTGGATTACCGTACCCTTAGGGACTTTCTGACCGACAAGGGTGGTGTCTCGATTAGCGATGCGAACCGTGTTCGGTACGGAGGGGTGGAAGCGGAAGACTTCCTGGCAGACAGCATGGAGATAAGGGAGGGAGTCGAGAGTGGCGGCGGATATGGGTTCGGGGGCTTCGACCGAAATAGGGGGCAGGTTGGCGCGAATCTCCTCGCGCAGGCGGGTCTGAATGTCGGGATACTGGGAAAGGGCATACACACACCATTGCAGTGCTCCCGATGTGGTCTCGTGACCGGCTGCGAGGAAGGTCATCATCTGATCAATGAGCTCCTCATCTGTAAAACCGCCACTCTCTATTGCTACGGAGAGGATGTCAACTGCGTCTGTGGTTTGGTGCGTTTTTTCGCCTTCGATTGACTGTCGAGCGTCATGGATCATTTCTTGTGCAACGTTCCGAATGTAAGCCGCACTTTCTCTGATATAACGGTTGCGCTTGAATGGCAACTTGTGGACCAAGTGAGGGACGTTGAGGATGAGTCCAATAACAAAGAGGCCTTTTTCAAGAGGCGTGGGGGGTACACTGTTGAGTTTGTGATATGCGACCGCCAGCTGGTTGGTTGGATTCTGGAGAGAATCAAAATCACGATTCATTCCTGCGAGACCAATAATGTCAAGTGTTGCTCTGCTGCTCCAAGACGCTACGCGGATGACGTTGTCTGCCGGGTTAGCACGCCGTTGCAGGTCTGCTTCGATCAATTTCACCATCTCAATGCCCTTTGACCAGAACACCGGATAAAGATTTTTGATATGTCGATATGAGAACGCAGGCATGAGCAGTTTCCGTTGTTGCTACACGATATCCAAATCAGTTTGCAAAGCATGTAAATAGCGAAACTCAATGGTCATGCGACCCACCTTATGTTCAGCACCCTCTACCAAAAGCACACCATGTTCCCCGGTGATGCGACCAAGAGACTGTCGGACAATTTTTGGCTTCTCAAAATCATAGACCTTCTGGACAAGCAGTTCGCTCAGGACTTTGGGGTTTGTTGCTATCATTCGCTCGAGGTTGCCCGCCAAGTAGAATCTGATCAAGCCATCGTTCGGTATGTCCTGATTCCATCGACGCATCCTTTCATAAGGGTTCACCAAGATAAATGAGTCATTGTTGCCGGTGAACCAAGCTCGGCCCTACGTAGTAGTCACGTTAGAGGCACTTCACTAACCAGGGGTTCCAAAATGGGGATAATAGAGACTACCGGAGGAGTCGGAATATGCTTGAGGGGGGTGAAGTAGACACGATACAGCGCCAGGCGGTAGAATACTCTCAGGACGAGGGTGACTGCAGAGAGTAGAAGGAAGTTCCGAAATGTCGATCGGAAGTAGGTAAATACAGCGATACCGACGTGGATGGCGTTCCACGGTAGTCCCGCCATGGTGGGAGCGACCGGAAGTCACTATAATAGATTGATGTGATAGTAACAGGGAGATCAACCAGATGCAAGCACGCGAACCGACGAGGATAATGAGCTCTAAGGATGAAGATCGAAATAAAAAGGACACATATAAATACAGAGCGACAGGCTAAGTACTTAACCACCGTTGCTGGTGCCGGGCGAGCCAACAGTGTAAGTATCACGACCAGCTTTATATGCTAGTACAATTTGAGCCAGGTGGACCAACAATCACGAGCCGGAGCTTTTCCATCTGGCGGTTCTGACGAAGCTGCGGCGCGAGCCAGCCAGCTGGGGCATCAACGGGACCTTGGACTCGATGAGCCGACCAAGTGGATGATAAATCATCGGCATAGCGCGGTGCTTATTCGATGAAACTGAGTTGGTGGATGCCTGGATGAAGTTTCCACCATCAGCAGCCACCGGGAGCGGCTGCCGATGCAACCCGGGCTGGGGGTAAGGAGCAACAAGAGTCAGTCAGGAGGTTGGCATCGGGACTTGAGGTACCGCGACCCTTGGTGATCCACGGTACTGTAATCATGTAGAAGTATAGATGGGCATAAGTAAGGATTAGATATCGCAAGCCGGCAAGAGAGAGCCGTCATGCGGGAACGGAAACATAGTAGTAGTAGTACTTAAAGTAACCGTCGCGAAGCTGGAAGATCTTTCATTGGTGAAGCAAATGACACGCGGATTAGCTCCTCAAGACTAACTTACTTTGGCACTGTGTAGTAGTATCGGGTTTCTACGACTCCCAGTAAGATGGAGTTGCACCAGCCAGTGCCGGTGGACTAACATCGCGGTTGCCGCTTTGGGCATGGCAAGTCACCTGCATGAAGGCCGCTATTTTTAATCGCCGACCAATGGCTGGCCCGCAAAGTTTACCTATTTCGGACACCCGCTTGTGTGGGATCCTCGTATTATCTCTTGGAGCCGATAATTCCTTCGGTGGAGTGGCTAGTACACATATAGTACTTAGTAGTGGCTGGTTGGAGGACTATCGCGCAAAGCATATAGCATGCTCATTATGATTCGGAAACCTTAGTGGACAGTAACAGCTAGGCTTATATGCAAACGCCATCTCCATCCCCCATTACCCGATCATTATATTACTATTCCTTCCCCAGTCCAGCCATCACCAGCCACGTCTATTCCAACTCTTCCCAGCTGACTCTTCACAGCCGCTCTGGCAGTTTCGAAAATACATACCCAAAAATCTCCCGGCTTTTGTACAGATTCTCCACCCGCAAACGTTCATTGTATAAATGGGCGTTATCACTGGCCTGCCCACACGGCAGGTTCGCCGCTGGTGCTGAGAATTCTTTCTCCAAGAACCGTATCGTCGGGATTGATCCGCCCTCACGGATGTAGATCGGCCGCACGCTGGACTCAGACCGTCCTCCTGCTGACACGCTGGACGTCTTCTCCCCAGTAGCCTCCGGCGCCGATGTTGAGGCAGGCTCGTCGGCGACAGATACCCCCGACTTGCTGGCCAGCGTGGAGGATGTTGGAACCGTCGTGCTCAGGGATGATCGCTGACGCGCCGTTTTCTCCGCTGAGGATGTCGTCGTCGACATGATGATCCGGTCAATGTGAGAGGCCAGACTATCGCCGGAGTCTTTGCGCTGAAGGCCAGGCCGCTCCTTCGACCGCTTAGGAGTCGTTGTCGACTCAGGCTTCTCCCGCTGAATGGGGGGATATGTGTATCTTTGGGGCTTGTTTGTTGGTGACCAGGCAGCGGTGATCGCTTCCGCCAGAGTCTCGAAGATTTCGTTGTCGGGATCCCCCAGCCAAGGGTCCGATTTGCCCGTGATCTCCACGGTCAGATCGTTCTGTGATTCTAATTTATCGAACTGCTCTTGCACAAACAGAGTCAGGTTCGTGGCCACCTCATCCGCTTCTTGGTTCGGCACAAGCCGAATGGAAAGGCTGGCCTTAGCTTTACGGGAGATTGTAGTGGTTGCGCTTTTACTGCTCCCAGGCACCTCGACTGCATGGATAGTGAGGGATGGCTCCCTCCAGCGATGCATGAGCGACTTGATGAGCGCATCACTATCCGCAATTTCGGGATGATGGGGCAGGAGAACGTCCGAGATCGCGGCATAGCGCTCCTTTTCAGCGTCGGTGAGCGGGAGGACCGGCTCTTGAAACCCAGGAAGGTTAATTCGACCCTTGCGACCGACCAGAGTACCCAGAAGCATGGTGAGGTCTTTCAATGGCTCGTCGAGCAGTGCGCTTCCATCAATACCACTGTGAAGATCAGGATGATCACTGGTCACGATGAGGTTGGCATGAACAACGCCACGTAGGCCATAAGTCAGGCACGGGTTGTGGTCATCCAGCCAGTAACTGTTGGCTAGCAGAATCCAATCCACCGGCCCAATTTCTGACTTGTGTGTACGAACCGTCTCGTGGAAGTTCTGTGAACCAGACTCTTCCTCACCTTCGATGAGAAAGACGACATTGCAACGGAGCTCTTTCTTCCGCGCAAGATCAGCCGCGGCATACAGGGCTGCCAAGATAGGCCCTTTGTTATCTGTCACGCCACGTCCGTACAAGAAGCCATCGATGGAAGTCAGTCGGTATGGATCAGTATTCCACTTATCCCGGTTGGCATCCGCTCCAACAACATCATAATGTCCATAGAACAGGATTGTCTTGTCGACCTTATTCGGGGCTGTGGCGTTGAACCGCGCATGCACAATCGGATTTGTATCCGCCCCGGTAGTCAGCAAATTGGTCTTAGCACCTAGGTAAATGCAGTGTCGGCGTAGGAACGCAGCACCCTGGTTGCATTCACCAGCGAATTTTGGACTAGAAGAGACCGTCTTGTATGCGACAAACTTGGCTAGGCAATTGACCATCTCATCTGTGTAATAGAAATTAGTAAGCGTGGGATACCCTACTTGTTCATAATCATACCGTTGTTGATGCGAGCTTGCTCAGGTTGTGCGCGCGACACATCGGTCAGATCCCATATGCCGACAGTGTTATCGTTTCCTCCACTGGCGTAGATATAACGATCCTTGAAGCGACCGGCTGAGGATGCCAACATGGTGCCTCCGTGAGCCACCCAGCTCCCAATTTCCTCGAACCGTGAGTTAAACTTCTACAAACTGATGAGTATTGTATATCCAAGGTCAGGGCTCGAGGAATCTACCTTGATGACACCGTTGGAGTCTCCACACACTGCGACACCGTGAATGATATCGACTGCCCATAGGTCACCCGTATGCATCGAAATCCTCTTCACCAGTTGGTGAGAGTCCAGGTTCCAGATATTCAAGGCGCCTCCCGCCAAACCACAGTAGAGAAACGAGCCCTCAACAGCGATGGAAAGCACCGGGTCCCCGTTCTGGAGCTTCGCAATCTGCGAAGGGACTGCATTGTCCTTGGCTTGATCCAAGCGCCAGAGTTTCACGACTCCGTCTCCTGCACCGGTCAGAAGCACCTCCTCATTGGGTGCTTGTTCAATAAGCCCTCTCACCAATAGCATAGTGTAGATATAGCCATGGTGAGAAAATAAGCGGTGGTGATCACGCTTGAAGGTGAGAACTTGGCCACCCGGGTGTACGCCATCTGCACCCGGGTCCGACCTGGGAGCACGAGAACCATCGGGACCCTTGGAATCGAAGAATCTATGGGTCCGTTTGGACAATTGAGCAGCTGAGCGTTGTGTCGAAGCCGCATCCGTTTGTGAAATATCGCACCACTATTATTGTCAGTAGGGAACAAAACGATCAATACGAAGATCAATAATTTACCTGAATGCTGGTATTTTGCCCACCGCAGTAGATGGTCTTCAGAGAAGACGAATAGGCCACAGCAAAGATGTCACCAACATCATGGTGGGAATGTATGGAGTAAAGGCGGTCGAAGGTTCTCGTGGACCAAACCTGCGGCTTGTCAACACTGCAGACGCATGAACGAGTAGACGGAAGTAGCTACATTGACGATTGAGTCACCCCCACTAGAGAACAGAAGCTCCCCATCCTCAGAAAGGAATAGATCCAACACGCTCTCTTGGTGGGCATGCACCGAAAGGACGAGATCGTATGTTTCCAAGGACCATGCCTGTGACGAGTCAGTGGGTGGATTCCTGCGATGTCAAGGTACCACGTACAACAATATCTCCGCCCTGAAGCCCGGCAAAGACGCATTCATTGTCCAGGACCAGCGCTAGGACGGACCGACTGGCTTGGACGCGGTGGCCGATGCCACACTCCGCCGGCAATGCCGTGTGGGCTGAGTCATGAGCGAGATGAGCCGTCACGGAGCGAGGATCGGACTCCCAAACCTTGGTTTGGTCATCGGTATCTGATGTGCCATCAGATTCTACAAGTACTGTATGTTCCATTGCGCTCGCAACGGAGCCGAAGATCTCAGCTATGATTTCCTTTTTCGATTAAATTGACAGCTCAGTGGTGAGGTTCACGTGATGTGCTGTGATGCGAGTCTGTGAGGCTTGAATTGATGGGGCGGGTGGATAAACAAGCAAGGTACGGGGAAGGACAAGAAAGACTGCAGAACAGGGCTAACTAGCATCAATCAGGATGGGGAGAAGGAGAAGTGAAGCTGAAGGAAGCAACACGACGTCGATAGAGGTGAAACAACTCAATTGCTTCACCTCCAGAGATGTCGTGATCGACCCGGTGAAGGTTGTCCAGGTGGGCCAATCACAGGATAAGGAAACTGATGGCCCCAGCGAGGTGGGGCGTCCCCCAACTGTGGCGGTGCAAAGTGTATCGGAACAGAACATCCACTTGTTAACTCTTTTTCCGCACTCACCTGGCTGTGGTTGTTCATAGTTGGGATGCTTCCAGCAACGTCTATTCCTGCAGTCAATGAGCGATGGGTCCTTTCCCAGGCTTACATGGCATTTCTTTCTGGCCTCTGGGGGTTACCCAGCAGGGATGCTGGAGTCCGAATATGGGAACAGAAGGAATGACTAACCTAGGTTCTAAAAGCAGACTTGCTATCAAGGTTTCAGTATCGCACTGCGACATGATTCATGAATATGCATTCAACAAGTCCACGTTGGCTTTAATGATGAAGTCATCCGCGTGTTCGGATGAAGGAAGTGGCATTTATAGGAGACTGTCTGAATTAAGGGGTAAAGGTGTGACCACAGATTGCGACAGCCGGACTAGATACATAACGTGGGAGGTCGGGATTTGATAACGCGTCCTGACACACTTGGTTTAACCAGCACGCTGACTATCAACGACTGGTGGCAGAGGGAGATAAAGAACGAGCTGTCGAAGCCCGTTAACTGGCTCGACAGAATCAAAAGGTGTTCAGCTCTTGACAAGGGTTACGGAAAATTTTTGGCTCGTTCAATTGAATCGTGTGCACCAAAGGGATAAGCGGAAACTGGGCGCTGGACGAGAAAGAAGCAACTTAATCGATCTTCATCTATTTTAATATAACATGCTGTGAGTTTGTGGCGATTGCCACTAAAACTCAGCCAGCCAGCTACTAGTGCGTGAGAAATGCGACCATAGTATCGAGAAGTAGCTGCTGCCTATACTCCATAGCTTTGAGGTATCTACTACAAGTAGTAGCAGTGAGTAGGAGTAGAAGAAGTAGTAGGGAGTGCGTATGGTAAATAATATAACAATCTAGTATGATACGGTGTTACTGACCGGGAAATCCGTGGACATTCCTCAGTGGATAATTCACCAGCCACAGTGGCGGTGCAGGTACAACCAATCATGGGCAGCAACATCACCGCCATTCCTGCCGTCTGTCCTCAGGCACCTGCCGTTCTTCCCTGAGTCACCAGGCACCCCCTCTTCCCTCCACCCAACAATCGGGGACTTCCCCAATTAGGCAATCCAGTTGTCAGTAGTAGTAGCGATAGTTCCACTCCGGACTAAGTAGATACGGGTACCTCCCCTGTCCCTCCCACGTCCCTCTCAGTCATGCTTTGGTCAAATTCTTTCAGGAGATGCAGCGATGATCCATGCTCTTTTCCTCCCTTAAGGCTGAGAGGGTCTTCAGGCATCCAACTAGGACTTGTGCTGCCGTCTCCCTGCATCCTTCGTCAGGTACACCCAAGGCACCTCCCAAGAAGTCGTTCAAACTTCCGGTCCTCCCACGTCAGTACCCAAGCGCCTCCCCCGCCAATGGAGCATCCCCTCCGTTGGATCGTGCGGTGACAGCAACACAGTCCCCACGGATCCGTGCAGCCATTCAGATCTAAGAAATCCATCTTTTTGGCGCATTTTGTTGCCTTGTTCCCAGCTTCATCGACACCCAACCGGTTTGCATTGGCAAGGCGGATACTTCCCCCCTGTTCGTTGCTTTATGCCCATCTTAGGCGCCGGGGCCGGTCCTGCGTCCTTTTAGACCCCCCAGCCCCCTCATATTTCTGTTCCTTGTACCTTCTCTGTACTCTATTTCGCTGCCCTTACCTGTCAGCGTGGAAATCTCCTCTGTGGCGTGGTCATCCGCCTGCATGCTAGCTACTAGTTACTGTTGGTTGCATCGTACCGGACCTTTCCGCAGCTTATCGTGATTCCTCTTCATATAATCCCGAAAAACCACCACAGCTGAACGGTGAACCTTGACACCAGGCACCACTTTTAAAATTCGCCATCAGCGCAGTTATATATCTGCGATATCCAGGTCCCTGCTTTCTCAATAATTTGTGTCGTCATTAAGGCCTGGACCACGATCTCTGGTCTGGAAAACTTTGAGATCGGGCCAAATCTCCACCGCGACTCGACTAGTGTCGATATTATTCCATTTTTATACACTTTCGCCTGGTTGCGCTACACCGCTGGTCTTACGCTCGGGATCTTGTGGAACGCCAACCCATCATTTTATCGATGCTTGATCCTATTTGAATGTCCACTGGGCAACATTTCACAAGCAAGAACGGAGTCAATTGACATCGTTCACTCTGATCAAGTGATAGAATAAGAAGCACACATTTATACACAGTCATCATGGCTCCTCTGGGCGAAACGATCGCTGTGATTGACAAGTCCGGTAAGGTGGTGAGCACGGTACGTATACGATCATACTTCCCCGTACACTGACATGCGATACTGACATATGACGGATCATAGAGCAAGCACCTGTTCGGCGTGTTCAGTCAAGCCAAGAATGCCTATCGCGAGCGCAAAGCTCAATTTCAGTCTGAACGGAACGCCAAGATTGCCGAGAAGGAGGCACTGAGGGCTCTTGAGAACTACCATATCGATGATGCGCCTTCAGTCGCATCCTCTCGAAGGAGCCGTTCCCGACACCATTCAGGCCGCAGCCACTACGCTCGTGAACCTTCGGTCTATGAAGAAAATGTGCAATGGCAGGACCCTTATGCCGATCCTTATGGTGTTCGACCAGGGGAAATGGTCCGCCGTCATACCCATGACGTCGCCATGCGTGGTCCAGAGCGACCAACCACCAGCCGCTCCAAGTCCGATGCTCATGTCGACATGGACCTAGCATACGGCGACTTCCACCCTTCGGCCCTAGAGACAGTACCACCACCTCCCGAACCACAAAACCAGCTCCAAAGAATTGAGAATCCGGAACTAAATACTCTTGTGGATCGGGCGCAGTGGCTCCTAGAGGAAGCTGACTGCATGCAACATACTGCGACCGCCACTATTGCACATCTTCAGAAGAATCCAGATGCCATGGCTGCTGTAGCTCTCACCTTGGCCGAGATCAGCAACATAGCCACAAAGATGGCCCCATCTGCGCTTTCAACCCTCAAGGCTGCGGCCCCAACAGTCTTCGCCCTGCTTGCAAGCCCACAATTCTTGATCGCAGCGGGTGTTGGTATCGGAGTCACGATTGTCATGTTTGGTGGCTACAAGATTGTCAAGCAGATCCAGAACGCCACCACCGCTACTCCCAGCAGCCCTATGAGGGCAGCGGCAGCTCCCGAGGAAGATCCTGGCATGGATGACATGATGGAGTTTAACACCGAATGTCTAAGCACTGTCGAAATGTGGCGGCGCGGCGTAGCGGACGCCGAGGCCGACAGCGTTGGCACGTCCGTCGATGGAGAGTTCATCACACCTAAAGCAGCAGCAATGTCAGGCATTGATGTGACTACGGCACGAATGTCGCGGGACCCGCGATTCAAGTTCGACGACGATGATCAGTCGATGGCATCATCTCGCAGATC